CACACCCCCTTTTCTAACTTGCATTTTTTAATTTATAGTGGTCCAGAAAAACAGCTCTTTATGCTTGTGAAAAGTCATCCAAGTTAAGAATCAATGGACAATAGAGGGACATGTGGAGGAAGAATCCTCAAAGCATTTTCTTTTGCAGATGAATTTCATATATACCTTGGCTTTTAAAAAATTTATCTGGGTCCTTAGGCATGTTTCCAATAGTTGCTAGATAAATGAACCATCACTGGTAGACATAGAATCTACCCACACTCACAAGGTGAGTAGCTAGCCTCCACTCCATAGCTAGCCTGGCCTCACCCTAGCCTTATAAGGACTTACTTGATAGTGATATAATTAGCAATTTACGGTGATCTGATTACAAAATGTCTATGCTGAGTCAATGAATGTACCGCAGGACATGGCCTCCCGCTGTGTTGCAGCATGTTTGTGGGCACCATGCGTAAAGAGCATGCCCTGCCCTGCCCGCTTCATCTCACTTCAGTTCACACTATATTCTATGAAGCCCTGAAATGCTGCAGCCCACATTCAGTCTGTGTTTGTAATGCATCCTCTTCTGTTCCCTCACATATGGCAGTCTGAAACAATTACATAATGAGACACATTAACAGGGCATAACTGTCAAAAATGATGAAACTATGCTATGAATAAATATTACCCACTTATTAGCTGTGCTGTTTCTGTGCTCTCGAATCTGTACTTTACCCCTGACTTTCAGATTTTACATTCACATCCCCTGATTACCTGTGTAACAAAGTAATGCAGCACCAGCAGCACTCAGGAAAAGATGTACAAAGTCAAAGGCAAACTAAACTCTAAAGTAGGGTTTCTTACCATTGTTGTGCTACAGTCATTTTTGCAAGTCTAGCGAAATCCTCAGACTCCTCTCAGAGCAATGTTTTAAAATTTATAAAAAATATGTATACAGGCTAACAATGGAAACCAATTATATTGAAATACTGTTAAAATTTTGATTTAGTAATATATGTGCTCCTTTATTAATAAATTCACTTTAAAATCTAACAGGATCAATAAGTGTTAAGATTTTAAAGTAATAATTAGTACAAATAGCATTATGAAACACTGCAACAATATAGTCATAAGGAAATATGTGATAGTTGTCAGTGACAAATCATAGGTATTTTTACACAACTATGGCTTCTTAACTAAATTTATACTTGAAAAAAGTACTTAAATTCAATTACATGTTAGTTAAATAAAGTTGGATCTTTTCACATTCAGAATCACTGACCCTGTGTTGAGAATCTTGCTCTAATATGACCCAATTTGGGTTATTTAATTGTTTCTTCCTTTGGAAGCACCTCTTCTAGACTTTTTTATTTTAAATATGAAAATATTAAATTTGCCCAATTCTCTTGCCTCTGTTACCACCATGGAGCCATTTGGAAAGACATATTCTCTCTCTCAGAAATGTACTGTTATCCCCCTGAATAAATGCAACATCTTCCTCAGCATAGACAAACACTTCCAAATATCAGGATGTCAAGATTCCTCAATAGTCGGAAGGTGACTCTCACAGGTGGAACTGACTCTCACCTGGGTCTCCAGGTCTGGATGCAACTTCCGCCTTCCTATCTGTGACTCGACTTACTTTCCTCAATCTCAAGAAAATCAAATGGCATGCAGTGACCAAATATAATGTTGGACGTTAAACTGCTCTAGTTTCTTTTGCAGTAAAGTTATTTGGAAAGTTGGGTATTTCGTGATAAATAACAAATTATGAGGAAACTCACAGTACAGTGTGGTGAGACTCCATGGTTGAGAACAGCCTTTCTGCACAGAGGTGCACACGCTTAGGAATGAGTGTTCGGACATTATGTCTTCCGGGCTCTGTGATGCCATTTCGCAGTTATAGTGGCAGTGCTAACGTGAAAACCACAGTGACCTGAAAGAGTTCATGGTTTCTTAAGGAGAGATTGGCACTTTTTCTCTAAAGGTCCAAATAGTCAGTGTTTTAGGCTTTATGGGCCACATGGTCTCTGTTTCAGCTACTCTGCTCTTATAATATGAAAGCAGACATAGACAAAACCTAAACGGATGAACAGTGAAATTTGAATTTTATATAATCTTAAAATGTCACAATGTATTATTCTTTTTTATTTATTTTTTCCATTTTGTAAACATATAAAACCCATTTTTAACTCACAAGCCACAGAAAAACAAGCAGTGGGCCAGATTTAGCCTATTGGCTATAGTTCACTACTCCTACTCTTAAGTATGAAATCAATAGCCGGGTAGCAAACCAATTAAGTAGGTTCATCTGGTTGGTTATGACATCCCAAGGGGGCCTGCACTTAAAATAAATTTTAGCTAGAATGTGAAGGAGAAAGTCTTTGATATTTTTAGGTGATACCACATATAGAAACAGAGTTCAAAGTTTTATAGATAGAAACTATCTTTGTCTGAAATCAATCAGGACCTTGATCTCAAAGACAATATGAAAGAAGCATCCGTTGTACACAGACATCGCAGATTGTTGTATCAAAAATGTGCAAGTTTTATGGGAGCAAAAAACTATAGCACAAATTTAGAGTTTTGTTTTTTTATTTTTCTTTTCTAAACACCTAATTAGAAGGAATATGGCATTTTTGTACTTTTATCATAGTTAGTAAATAGTCCACTCTTTCTATATAGTTCTTTGTATTAGCAAGAACATGAAAGTTTGAAAGCCTGGGTGTTCTAAATCCATAAGAAATATCTTCATTACTGATTATTAATGATAGACTTGAGTTTCAGGGCATTTTTGCCAGGAAGAAAACAAAAACAAATGAAAAGACAGAAAAAAGAAAAAAAATGGAGGGTGATAGACAGTAGCAATATGGTGTGGATGTAGACAATCCCTGTGATTCATGGAAAAGTTAGGGCTCACAGATTAACTCTGTTGTGAGAAAGTGTTTAATTTCTTGTGGAATAGTTCCTATCAACTGGATCATTGCAAAAATTAGTATAAAATTTCACCTATTTAAGAATCAGACAATGCAAAATATATAATACTACATATGAACTTCAACCTTGTTGTTTAATGAACACCACCAGACACACATCTGGGGTTTTAGTGCTTGCCACAGTATAGTTTTCTGGTTGACATATATCTAAGAAATGCGTATATTAACACCCAGGCTAGCGAGCCAAGCAAATTTTAGTGCTGGCTACAGCTGAAAGAATATGTTTCCACTCCTTGTCCATCTGTTCTTGGCAACATGAATTTAAACTAGAAACACAGAGTAAGTTTCATGAGAAATAAGTCTAAATAGGGTTTAGAACAGCAAGGTGAATGCCCTAACTTATTATGACTTGTTAACAATTGATTTTCTAGCTAGAAGATAATGTTTACTTGGAAAAATTTCATGCTGCCACTATAGCTTAAAGTTTAAAAAATAATTTCTTTTTAATCAGTTTACTTAAAAAAATACAGTGGCTTGGTCACACTTTCTATTAAAGGACTTTCTAAGGGTTTTTTATTAAATTTGCTAGTGATCATGAGCCTAACAAACTTTGGGATTTCCAAGTGCTATTTGCCACACACTTGAACTACACAGAAACTGTATCATTTACATCTCTGAACTCCATGCTAAGATGGATTTATTAGCGGGGAGTGAAGGATTTCTGTACAAAATGGAGACCATGCAAAACATACAAGTAGAACCTCAGCTATGACCAGCAATTACATGATTACCTCCCACTCTGTGCCACAACCTCCAGCTTTTTCTGCTACTAAAACAATGTTAAACTACTTATTTACATTTGACAATTCACGAGAATATTAAAATAGAAAAGGACCATATGTGTGCGGCTAGAGTTTTGTCTCCAAATCAAGGATCCAGGCACTCTTAGCTCAATAGGTAAGTGGATGGGCTATGTGTCAGGGCTAGGCTGTATGGGATTCGACTGACGTGCGTGCAACCTTTGCTTTCTGGCTGTGTGAAAATCTTCAGGTTGGCAAGGGACCTTGAAGCTTACACAGTGCAACCACTCCTCCTCTGTAAGAAATGTTTCTATCATTTTTTAAAGTCTCTCTTTTTGATATGGCTGATGTATCAAATATTGCATAGTAGTTGTGCATCAAAGTGGTTGCGTTTACATGTTGTCACTGTCACTACCTAACTATGAAAGTATAAATAAATTAGTTAACTTCTTTGATTTTCAACTTTTCTATCTACAAGTGGGAATCATTATATTTTTCTTAATATGGTTCTTAGGGGGAGCAAATGTGATGATGGAAGCAAATGAGGGGAAGTGATTAGTCCATTGACAAGCACTTAGTAAACACTCAACAAACAATGCCTATTACTAGTAGCCTCTTTCTACTGTCCTCTGTTAAAAAATAAGTAATGATTGTACTGTGGTAATTATCTAGTCTATTCCAAATAGCATTTTGATGGTAGGTTCCTTATCATCAGAAAAACATTTCAATAAATTAATATTGTTTCTTTAACTTTTGCATGAAGTTACTCTGGACAAGCCACTCACTCAGTGATTTAGAGACTCTGTCTTCTTATCTCCAAAATGAGAAACTTTAATTCATTATCTCTTAGGTCTTTTATTTGAGTAATGTAATAAAATCATGTTTGACAGCATATCCTCATACTTTATTTATAGTGCTGAAATGTCTATTTGCTGCCAAATGTCTGATGTGGGATGTATAAATGTTCCATATATACATGTGGAATAACATTAAGTTTGTTGATGTTAAAAACTACTGGTATATTTTTTTGGCATTATTTGGCTCAGAATCTTTTGTTTTAGAATAAGCTGACAGCAAATCTTTTCCCACAGCACCTCAAGGTTTAGTTAAACTGAGAGTTTCATAAGTAGGCCATCTTTTCATTACTTTCTGTATCCAAGACGGAGAAGCTTTCTTCATGAAGTAGCCTTCATTTGTCATCTCCATAATATCTAAAGACACTAAATTGTACACATATGCGTATGTACTATAACTTACAATGCTTTTTTTTTTTTCTTTCAGATCTGAGTGATCAGCTGCTAGAGGTGGTTGGATTAGAAGGAGCCATGGAGATGGGGCAAATATACACAGGACTGAAAAGTGCTGGGAGGCGGCTAGCTCAATGCTCCTCGGTGGTCATCAGGTAACTCGTTCTCTATAATGGACAAAGGGGGTTGACATGGCATCACTACACACTAATTAAAAGTATGCATGACCTTGATAACATGTGTCTTATTTGTGTGTCAATTTATCAATGATTAATACTGACATATCTCAAAATAATGAAGATTTTACGAAGTTTTGGTTAACTAGTACCTATCAGGTTCATTAGAATTAGATTCTCTCCAACTGTACATAAGCCCAAGCCAGGAACCAGGCAATTCCTGCATATTCCTCTAGCCCCCGTCAGAGAGCCAGCCATGGGCCCTGGTAAGCCTGGTCCTCCTTGGCCCCAGGGAGGTGGATTTCACTTTCTAACCAGGGCCTCCAGGATACCCAGCCAACAAACCCATAAAACACCATCTCTGAGATGTTTGGGCCACCAAGATCCTCCCTCAACCTTTAGTCAGGGCACATTTATTTCGACTTGGTTTTCCCAGGAAGGTTTAGCCCTTTGAGAACCTATATACGCATATAGGGGATAGATATACATTGATGCTCATTGTTATTGGTGAGCTTCAGGAGGGTATTGTCCCAAGAGGTGTAAATAGTTCATAGTAGTAATTATATTGGGCATTCTATAACCCATATGACATTTTACGTGAGTCTCAGAACCACTTTGTGGATTAATAGTTACTTTATTTTTAAACAGGCAGAAACTGTGCCTAAGAAAGGCCATGTAATTTGTCCACATTCATCATGCCAACATGGAATACTACTCTTAGATAGAACTGGATGGTTCAAACTCCCACTTCAGTGCTTTTCCAACCCACGTCTATCACCTTGACATCTCATACACTATGAGATGGCAGAGCTGTGGGAGCTAATGGTTAATGAGGAGTGTACATTTAACCAGCAAGGAGTCTCAGGGGAAGACAGAGTGTGAGGGCTCTGCTATACTGAAGTGTTTTTAGGATCCTTTGCTAGGCCAGCTGGATGCACATTGGCTTTTCCTAAGGGAAAGACACTCATTTGGATGAATTATTACCCCTGTTGAACAAGTAGTTCTAAGCTGTGTCTCATGCCAAGGAGGACAGGCTCTGCAGTGTCTCTTATGTGCCCTCTGATGGCCACAGAAAAGGTGACTCTCTGCGGGAAGACCAGTGCATTTCCAGACCTAGGGCATTCACCAGAAAAGGCTCCTTCCTGCAGCTTCATGTCTGTGTCTCCCACTATCTCCTCCATGTTTTCCACCTACATTCAGTTTTCCACCATTAAATTTGATGATCACTGCAGGATTTTGTAGAGGCCCCTTTATCAGATTGAGGAAGTTCCCTTCATCTGCTAGTGAGCTTGGGCTTTTACTGGATTTTGCCGAATACTTTTTCTGTATCTAGTGATAGGATCATGTGGTTTTAGTTCTTTGGACTGTCAATATGGTTGTTTGGTTTTGGAATGTCAAACCAGCCTTGCATTCCTGGGATAAGACCCACTTGGTTGTGGTGTTGTATTTAAAAAATACACTAGTGACTTTGTTTTGCTAATATTCTGTTGTAGATGTCTATGTCTATATTCAGGAGGGATTCTGGCCTGCAATTGTTTGTTTTGCTCTGTGTTTTTGTTGTGGTTGATGTTTTTCTGACTTTGTTTACTTTTAGTATTAGAGTTTGTCTGGACTCATTAATAACAAGCATTGCCTTCTCAAACAAAAAAAAAGATTAGATTCTCTCTTATTGAGACCAATGATACAATTCTAACATATAGATTTTATCCTCTCTCATCGGCTTCACACTCAATTTAGTTTACTGAAGCCTTGAGGTATCTACTGGGCAAATTACCCAATGAAAACACCATTGAAACATTATTAATTTTTTTCATGGACTAAAGTGCATCAGTGTTTCTATAAAATTAAATAATGAATTACTGTGAATTAAGTTTTTATATGTATTAAACTTGAACCTTGTCAAGAAACATTTTCCAAAAAATTTACCTGTTAAAAAGAAAAGGTGTATTTGACCCTAATGTGCAAACATGGATTATAGCATGCATATAATTGCTTTTATTTATATGAAAGTGTTGATACTGGAATGTCTGAGACACCAAACACATTTTTTTCCAGGTTTGTGGTTTACAACATGGGTTTGTATGAAAACAAGGCATCTCTTTTGGCTGTAAGAAAATTGATTTTTATCATTAAACATGAACCCTACATTTTTCATTTGGCATCACAAGTTTTGTTTATATCACCACATTTATCAGGGAGCTCTTAACATTCCTGTGACCAAGGTACCTTTTAGGGTATTTATTTATTAATAATCAAGAGTTGAAGTCCTTCTCAGGAAAGATAACTTCTAAGCCCAGCTATTACCATATTTGCATTCCCTGTACCCATCATCTTATACTTTACATATAGTCTGTTGTGTTATATTTAAAATGAAATATTTTCTTCCAGGACTAGCAAGTCTCTACCAATGCAGATTGATGGGGAACCATGGATGCAGACCCCATGTACAGTGAGTACAGAGTAGTTGATATGCTATATCAGTTTCATTTTTTCTTTCCGGATATTATATGTTCCTATAACTAACCAATCACATATTTCTATAACTATGCACCATTTTTTGCTTTGTTTCATTTTGTTTTTGTTTTTGTTTTGTTTTGCTTTTTCTTATTTTTGTGGCATAGACTTTGTATTCAGGATTTAGGCATTATATGCCCTGGCCAATGATTTAGCTTTGGAATGTTTGTGTTAGCCTAAATGTAACCTTTAAATACCATAGATTGCTTATAAACTCTGAAACTGAACAAACTTGATAAAGTTTCTCTTAACCTTTCCTGTACTTATTTCAGAACCGCTTATGAGAAAATTATTTAGGGGACCTTCAGAAAAAAGTCTCCCTGAATTTATTACCCATCTATTATTTTACCTCCATTTGGAGCTTTAAGGGCTTCTTTCTCTATAGAAAAGCTCCTCCTATAATTGTTTTCTCCATAATGAGGTATTATTTGTGTCAAACATTTATACCTCCAAAATTTCTTTTTCCATTTGTATAGTGAATATTTTATTACATTTCAAAAATATGCTATGCTCTGCTCTTGGCACTAAGAATAGAAATATAGTTCTTAATGTAGCTCGTGATCAATAATAGAACATTGAAATAACAGAATACAGAATACACCATGGTCAATAATGTAACTGTCTTCAAGGAACTTACATCCTGATAATAGGAGTTTTAATTAATTAATTAAATAATTAATTAAATAGTAAATATAACTGCAGGTTACAAGAGTCATGAAAAAATAAGGCAAAACAATGAAGAGGAACTAGGTAGTGTATGGAGGATACTACTTTAGATAAGTGAATCTGCGAGACTGCTTTGAAAGAAGAGTAAAAACCTCAGTGTGTTAAAAAAAACTGTAAGGAGAATAGTGTAACCACAGTTTCTAGAGGTGGGGTGGGGGGAGGTAAAAGATAAAACAGGAAAAATGAACAGGGATCAGATCATGTATTTAAAATGATGGTAAAGACTTAGCATCTGATTCTAAGTATAATAGGAAGCTACTGAAGGCTTTAAGCATCATCTGATTTACATGTTTAAAGTTCACCTTGGCTGCTATAGGGAGAATGGATTGTACTGACTGGCAGCTGGGAGACAGGATCTATCAGAGTAGGCTGGGCCTGGGCAAGGAGAGTGACAGGGAAATGGATGGATCTGAGCTATATTCTGGAGCTCGAACAGAAAGAATTTGTTAATGAGTTCCCTTGGGGTGGGGGGTGCGGGGGTGAGAGAAAGAGAGGAATCAATGTTAGCTCTTACCTATGACTGATGGTGCCATTTACTGTGTAGTTAAGATTGGGTGGGAAACTGGTTAGGGGGTGACAAGGAGGTCTTAATCTTAAATTAAGTATAAGCATTGTGCTAATTATTACATGTATTTTTTAAATTGGGGTATAATTGACATGGTGTATCATATTAGTATTTATAAAATATTCACACAAACTCTAAATAATGGTTATCACCAGTTTTCAGGTGAAGAAAACTAAGGCTTTGGAAGGTTAAATAACTTACTCAAGGTTAGATATGGAACTCAAACCCAGGACTTTTGATTAAAGCCTATTCTCTTAACTATTAGTTTAAACAACTTTAGCTACAGATTCCAGACAGCACAGCTGAGCCTATAAGAAGGAGCTTTAATTATGCCTTTCCAGTGATTTTATGTTGAAGCTATTGGCTCAGTCTTTGTATATAGCACATACATATGACTTTTGGTTCATTCCTGATATCCATTAATTCTATAATAATAATGTAAAACAAATTGGTCTAAAAATTACTTTAGACTGGCTACTTCTTTTGCTTTTTGTTATTTCTATACATGCTTCAAAATACCCTTTAAAATTTTTCCTGTTCCTCTTTTTACCAGACACATCTTATCTGTTATCAGTCACTCTCCCAATGACACCTCAAAGTTCACATTTATGTTCTTATGGAGGTTCAAGGTGTTGTTGCTATTGTGAGTGGTGGTGGTGGTGATGATGGTGGTGTTTAAGATTATGGTGCTGAGAGCAACAGTGGTTATGATCATTAAGGTAAAAATAGTGGTGAATTGTGTTTATGGTGATGATGGTGGTTGTGATGATGATGGTGGCGGTGGTGATGGGCGTAATGGTGGTCATGATGAACTGGTGGAGGTGCTATCAGTGATGATATAATAGTTATGGTAGTTGCAATGCTGGTGGTGGTGGTGGTTGTGATGGTTGTGATGGTGGTGGTAGTAGCATTATTCTTGTCTTTTATAAAGGTCACGTTTCATCAGCAAGGGTCACAAGAAAATACATTAAAGACAATGAAACTAAGCACCTTCCATTAATACTTTATATTCTTTTGCATTCTTCTCAGGGAAAAGGCAAATTTAGTTTCTGTGCCATGGTTTAAATCAAGAAGGATCAATGGCAATAATAATATCTAACATTTATTAAGCTTTTAGTCTGTGCCACGTACAGTTTGAGACACTTGACCTATACTGACACAATTCTCACTGAAAAACCCTATAATTACTTTTATTTTACAGATAAAACAACTGAGGCAGACAAAGATTAAATAATTTGCCTGATTCCACACAGATAATAAGTGACAGGGTAGAAACAAATCAGGTGTCTTGACTCCACTGTTTGCAGTCTTCATGGCTACTCCCTACTGTAGATCTCAACATGAAAAGGCCCCAGGCCATCCTTGTAACACAATGTGTGTGGCCTTTGATAAATTGCATATTGCCTTTCTCCAGCATTTAAAAGTATACATCTATTAAAATCTCATGCTTTAGAGTAATTTTAACTTATTTCATACAGGACTTGTAATGATACATTTATTGTTTTCTTTCAATTAGTAATTGGACATTCATTTCACCTATTAATTATCATGATCTATACAATTGTTAAATTAATAATACATTTTATATCTCATATTTAATTTTCTATCCTTGTAAACTCTCTTATTCATTTAAAACATTTATTACTGTCTACTGTGGGCCAAGAACTGTACTAGACTATAGCTCATTATTGTTATTTCACATTTGGCATGCTCCACTTTTCCTAGAACCACATGGAGTTATGAACTTTAAATTTCACTTCAACTGAAGAGAATGTTTAGTATTCATAGCATTGGTATGGTTTTACTAAAAAGTGCTCTTTGCTTCAATTGAATAACAAAATGTTTTTTCTTACAGAACATAAGAATTGGTAGAATGTTAAAATTCTTTGCTGGATTTAAATATCCATAAGCTGATCTTCAATTTATGCAGGAATTGCTCTAGATATAATTTTAGAGCACAGCAGAAGTTCTGTTTTTCTCTAAGTGGAATATATAAAATGGGAAGGCAGGTAATAAGTGGGTCTTGATTCTTACATCAATTAGTACTTTAAAAAAATCAAAGCAATATAAGTTTTGGAAATATTAATAGATGGTAGTGATGTTTGCACAACAGTGTGAATGTACTTAATGCTGTTGAACTGCATACTTAAAAATAAATAAAATGATAAATTTTGATACATATATTTTACCGTAATAAAAAAATAGGATAATATTTATTTATAAATTTCAGCAATCCTGAGTTCAAATATAATGAAAAGCAAAAACCAAACAGTTTAAAATTAACTTGTCAGATATATACTTTGTAATTAGTTTTATGACCTTTTAAATGATCTCACACTAAAGTAGTTAACAGACATTTATTAAGTACACTTGTGTTTACAGTTTTGTAATAGTCACTGAGTTAACAGATAATGGATTATTTAGCTATTAGCCATCTTAATAAACATATCAAACTAAAAAGACAATTCTAGAAGACTTCATATTGAAATAGTTCACAAACAGCCTTTCTTTAGGCCGGACTTCAGAGCCTGCTTTCCCCTCTCTATCTTTTTTCTCCTCAATCCTTCCTCTGAGCATGTCAAGCATACTGACTCTCTTGTCAATATGTTCCTATCACAGAGAGAAAAAAAAGAGCAACGTTGAGAGGAGAAAGGGAAAACAGTAAGACACAGCAGATCATAGACTAGGTCAGATTTTATTTTGTATCTGCACATGCACCCCTCCCACACCTAATTATTACAAGCAATGGGTGCCCAGTAAAGTTTTGTTAAGTGAGGAGTGACCATACTGAACCTGAAATTTAATATAACCAAAATGAACTCATCATCTGCCTCCCTCCTTCTCCTTCCCACCCACCAAATACTGACTTCTTGTTATATTCCAAAACTCCTGCTCCTCCCTTTACAATATTGAGTTAGTTACCGTTATGCATCCAGTGTTTTCTAAGCTAGACATCTGAGAGCCATCTTATACATCTCCATATCTTCACATTCAATTACCATGCCCATCTAATGATATGACATATTTCTGAAATATTTTCTTTTCTTTCCATCCCTACTACCAGTGTCCTAGATTTGGCCATTTTCTTTTTCTCCCATTCCCAGCAATAACCACATCAATCTATCCCAATGACCATTTTTTCTATTTAAATCCATTCTTCACTTATCTACTAGAATGACCACTATAAAGCATTAATCTCATCATGCCACTCTTCTACTTACAATGATTTAATTACATTCTATCTGATAAAAATACAATGAGGTCTGTTTGAAAAATACGATGAATGTTTAAATTTAAAAAAATCATTACAGTAAAAGACACATTGCCATTAATCCCCCTCAAAAAACTCCATCTCACTTCAAACACTTATCTCATCGTTCTTGCCACTTTCTGAAGCCGTTATGGAAGTTCTCTTCCATGAGTATCTTTATTTCATCCTCCATCATGACAATGCTCCATGTCACACATCATTTCCAATATGGCAATTTCTGTCAAATAAAAACGTTATGGTGTGTCCTCATTCACCTTATTCAACGGATCTGGCACCATGTGACTTCTGGCTCTTCCCCAAAGTCAAAATGACCATGAAAGGTAAACGTTTTGAATCAATTCAGGACATTGAGGCAGCCACAACAGCACAACTA